TTGAGTAATCATAATAGCCAACATATAGCACTTAAGATGTGACAGACTTTTCTGAGCTTCATGTATTTTAAAATAGTCCATCTTCCTAAAAACCACATGAAAAGATGATCAACATCACTAATTATCAGAGAAATGCAAATCAAAAGTACAATGTGGTATCACCTCACACCAGTCAAAATGGCCATCATCAAAAAGTCTACACAGGGCTTCCCTGGTGGCGCGGTGGTTGGGAGTCCACCTGCCGATGCGGGGGACGCGGGTTTGTGCCCCGGTCTGGGAGGATCCCATGTGCCGCGGAGCGGCTGGGCCCGTGGGCCATGGCCGCTGGGCCTGCGCGTCCGGAGCCTGTGCTCCGCGGCGGGAGAGGCCACAGCGGTGAGAGGCCCGCGTACCACCAAAAAAAAAAAAAAAAGTCTACACACAATAAATGCTATAGAGGGTGTGGAGAAAACGGAACCCTCCTACACTGCTGGTGGGAATGTAGATTGGTACAATCGCTATGGAGGACAGTAGAGGTTGCTTAAAAATTAAAAATAGAACTACCGTATGATCCAGCAATCCCACTCCTGGGTATATATCTGGAGAAGACCCATCATGCACTCCAACGTTCATTGCAGCACTATTTACAATAGCCAAGACACGGAAGCAACCTAAATGTCCATTGACAGTGGAATGGATAAAGAAGATGTGGTACATATATACAATGGAATATTACTCAGCCATAACAAAGAATGAAATAATGCCATTTGTAGCAACATGGATAGACCTAGAGATTATCATATTAAGTGAAGTAAGTCAGAGAAAGACAAATATCATATGACATCACTCATATGTGGAATCTAATTTAAAAAGATATAAATGAACTTATTTACAAAACAGAAAAAGACTCACAGATTTCAGAACAAACTTATAGTTACCAAAGGGGAAATGTGGGGGGGGGGAGGGATAAATTAGGGGCTTGGGATTAACATACTCACATTACTATATATAAAATAGATAACCAACAAGGACTTACTGTATAGCACAGGGAACTCTACTCAGTATTCTGTAATAACCTATATGGATAAAGAATCTGTAAAAGAATGAATATATGTAAAACAGAATCACTTTGCTGTATACATGAAACTAATACAACATTGTAACTCAACTATATTCTAACAAAATTAAAAAGTAAAATTAAAAAAATAGAAAATATCTAAAATAAATTAAAAAAATATTTCATCTTCAAAGCAATCTTATGAGTAGATACTGTAACTATCCCATTTTACAGATTAGGAAACGATGAAAGACGTACTTTTCATAAGACTTTAATATTACCATGAATACATTTACAAACTGAATCTTGAGAGTATTTGTTACACTACTGACATTATTAATTTATTGTAATGGCAGTGCTAATACAGCAGCTGGCATTTATTCAGTTTCCTATGTGCCAGGCATTGTTTTAAGTGCTTTACAGATCTAAACTCACTGCTACCAACAGCCCTATGAGGTAGGTAATATTACTACCCCCGTGTTATAAATGAGAAAACTTGGTTAAAAGAGGCACTCTTAAAAAATTTTTTTTAAATACTGTTGACCCCTGAACAACACAGTAATCTGTGAGAAATGGGTATTATTCTGATCATCATTTGATAGGTGAGGAAACTAGGCATAAAGAGGGTGAGTAAATTGGCCAAGGTCACACAGAGAAGAATGACAGTGTTGGGATTCACACTTATGCAGCCTGATGTTGCATGTGTCAGAATTATGTTCCAGTTTTGCATTAATTCAGTGTTTATCTGGATAAGATGAATTGTGGAAATTTCCCAATCTCCTAAATTTTAATCCATTATGGATACTAGATCCATTTTAACTAATATATATATTTTTGCTCAATAACTGTCCTAAATTTCCTGTTTTTAGAATTAAACCCTACTTAAAGTACCCAAATAAACATTCCAATTACTGGGGTTGGAGACTGAGGTGCTTTGAAAAAATTCTCATTTTAAAGGGGGTTCCGTTTCTTTTTATAATCTCTATTAAAAATAAAGCACCACCAGAAAAATTATTTTATGGTAAAAGCATCTTTAGAGCTAAAAGCTTAAAAAAAAGAGTCACTGGAATAAAAACAAATAATTAAGTGAATATCAACATTTTATTTTATATTAATGCTTATTTTATAACCATTTAGTCAGAGTTTTCTAAAAATATTCACTGAATAAATACTTTTCATTTAAAAAGATATACCTAGTGCCTTCAATTTATTTCCTTACTTAAAAGCTATGAGGTCCTTTCTACAAGGAATGAAAAATAAAAATTCACATACATCCCTACTTATGGCATATTAACAGTACAAGCAACATTTTAAAGCTTGATACTTCCGGTGCATAATTATTCAATTTTCTCCATATATAGACGCCACACCTTGTTGTCAATAAATAATTCCATTTTAATGGCAAAGTAATAATTTAGACAGATACAGGGTGCACATTTGCAAAAAAATATATGCAAGCTGGTTTACAAGCTAGAGGAACAATCAACCAATAGAAAATACATCACTCAGTTATGTCCACTGACACCAAGTACTTGTTGTCGGGGCTTTACAAAGACTACAAAACTTTTCAGATGATTTATTTCACTGTTTCTATTTACATGATATGTTACAGCAAAAATGTACAAAATATAAAATGTATACAGACAAATGTTTCACAAACTAGTTTAAGTTGTAAACTAGGCGGACCTACTGGGATGTATTGCAGGAATTTGTTTATGACCGTGTTTGGACTGTGTTTCTCAAAACGGCAGGGAAAGATTAGCAATTTTCTTAGATCACATATTATACAAGGGCCACTAGTCACTCATCCAGCTACATATATTGATGCTTCACCACAGATGTGATCCACGTTTGAGGCTTCAAAGTCAGGGTGACCATTCTATGTGCATAAATTCAGTTCCGATTTCCCTTAGGGCAATAGCACCGTGGAGGACCTATGGACTGAGTGACATTCTGACAACTGCGCAGATGTCTCGTGTTGTTATTGTTCTATAGCAACTGACCCGTGGGTGGTCACAGAGAGTAGCACCAATTGCATGTCCTGAAAGTAGCACATTTTCACATGCATGGGACAAGTCTACACCATGGCCTAGCCCTTGGGTTGATAAATTTCAAACCTGTCCCCTGTGTGTGGTGGGAACTTCTCCAATCACTCCCATCAGTTTTCATGCACTCTCTTGAAAGCCTGTCACAACAGATGCACTTTCAGACATTTTTACTTTTCCGAAAATGGATTGGCTTCATGGACAGTTTTGAAGCATGCTCACTCTAGCACTGATAGCTCCTGCATGGTCATCACAACTGTAAATACAGGACAAACACACCAGATAATAACAGTGTTGAGGGTTTGCATTCTGTATTTGCAAAGTACAGGAAATCTCAGCAAGTGAAACATCTCTTAACACCCACAGGATAAAATACAATTTTTTTTGTGTGTTTATTTCGATTTGTGCAAGTTTTTAAGATGATTATTTACAATACCTACCCAGTAGACTGTGCAAATCTAACGTCCTTTTACAGTATAAACGCTTCCTCATCCACAGTGACTTCACTGCATCAGTGTTCTCGAATGCTGAATTACTCATGTACAACAATATCCATCAAAACAACATGTTCAAAACTCATAATAATTAAAACAAAAAAAAAAACAATAGGGGAGAAAAGCGGAATCGTTGTGCTCATGCTGCATCTAGTGCTTCCAGCTCTGCTGGATAAGAAATCACAATCTCCCGCCTTCTGAAACTCTTTCC